TTAGCTTGGCTGGGGACGTCTTTTGGAGGAAAAAGGGAAAAATTTTCGATGAAAACTTTAAAAGTCAATTGCTTCTGCGAGCAAATAAACTATTTGGGTGAAAACGCAAGCCATGAAATGACTGCATTTATTTTAGGCTCGCAAGGCTGTTCACAGATCAAAATTGCTGTTCATTTGCTACCACAAAAATATAAAAAAGTAACTTTGGAAGTAACCTCAGAAGTAACTCGCTACTTTTTACAGTAGTTAGTAGTTTACTCAATTACTATTACAAATGCGTAATTTCTACTCTACTCCAATTACTTTTGGCGTGAATACTCAGTAACTTAAATTAACTACCTTTTTCGACTAACTTATACGTGCCTGCCTGAAATATGCATTTAGCTACACATGGTTCATATAAAACAAGGTTGGCTGATTTCCATAGGGACTTTCTGGAACACATTATTTAGTACAAGAGGGCCATAGCCAAGTGTTTCGTCAACTTTTCGCCATTTTATAGAACATCGCCAGTGTATCGCTCTCTTTGTGCCGCACTACTATTTACTTTTTTAACGATAGTGTAAGGGGGAAGACAGTGGAGCACAGGACAGATATTAATTTGATTTTCGGTACCGAATTTTTGGCCCAGAAATGGAACCACTTCTGTGTTCCCGCCAACCCCATATATTTTTGGTTGAGTTTCCTGTATTGGTCTCAGCGGTATTTGATAAGGCTTCTCACACGGCAAGCCCCTTGAGGCTTGGTCCGGGAAACTATTCTCCACTGCATACTACAATTTTTTTTCTATAGTTTACCAACTAAATATGCGCAGTATACTCGAGCGTTGTCATCGCTGTTAATGGTTTTCTTTCAGGATGACATCTAACTTGTGGAAATATTTCCCATACCATCCTGAACAGTAAGTCCGCTCGGCGGGTTTCAGGCCTAAAACACTGCAAGAACACGCTGCCTCAGACAGGGCACCCTTACAGCACTCGCGTTTGCCACTGGCTTCCGGGACCAAGCACATTGGGGGATTTCACTTGCTTTACTACCGCTTAGCGTCACTGCAAAACCGCGTCTCATCCTACGGTGAACTGAAGCCCAATGCCACTGGTCGCCGGGTCCAATCCCGAGCCTGTCAGTGCACGAAGACACGTCATGCGGAGGCGAGTTCTTCGTCTGCTTATCGAGCTCTCGCGGCGGCTCCTACTGAAGACTACTGAAGGGATTAAATAACGTATAGAAACGATGTGGCGACTAGAACCTGGGATCAGAACCAGTGGTCATTAAGAAATGAAGATGAATCGGACCGACTGTTCGACACCGGAGCGTATGTACGGACCACATGCCGATCCAGGTACGTACAGAAAGATTGGATTAGATTGGACTGTTATGGTTAAGGCGAAACCACTTTACGATAGTTTTGCCTGCGCGCTCTCCAAGTTCTTCAAACAATTGACATGTTTACGAAATATGACATGAATGATTAGGAAACTAAATGCCACGTACATATACTTAACCAATGTAAAATAGCGCGCTATCACAACAGAGAACCATATGCGTGAGATTAGTGCCCTTCATACTCTACCCATCAGAATTTCTCGCGCGTTCTCTTTTTCAATGCGGATGCAAGCCTTTCTTCGAGCCCTAGGTCATCGTAGGTGAGACGAAGTATGGTTACCCGCAAGACAATTTCCAACTCCGATTAATCTTAAGTCCCAGCGGGGTCAAAAGCAAGCCGAAACCCAAATACAAACTCGCAAACTAAAACTGCGATGTCAGGACGCATTATTTGCACTTGATTGGACTAGCTGGTGGTAACGCACCCATGGAAACACGAAAAATGTCACGATCTAGCGCATTGCGAGAAACCTGTTTTTTCGCCATTGGCTGGTAACGTGTGTTGCACTCAAATTTAAGATTCACTTTGGTGTAGCGTTACGTAATGTGCTTAAGGTTTTCAGCATTAAAACTTGGGGATACGTGTTGTGCTGCAATGAGACAATGTAACAACCCAGACACACCTTCAAGGTAGCGAAATATCAATGCCGATTTCCCAGCTTCACATAAGAAAGGCCAAACGAGGGAACAGGTTAACGCCCGTTCACACACTTGCAACCGAGTAGGACCGGCTGAGACGAGACCGGTATTTAAGCCTCTTACGTGAGCGCGTAGGACCTGCTCCACAGCAACGCATCCGGTCTTAGGCCGTCGCAAGAGGCTTAAAAACTGGTCTTGTCTCAGCCGGTCCTTCTCGGTTGCAAGCGTGTGAAGGGGCCTTCACACACGGGTGCTGCGCCAGAGCTCGTCTGAGGCTCGTGTTTGATCAATGAGAACAGGAGTCATATCCGCGCGCTGACGTAGCTGTGATGTCCATTATGTGCTACCCAGCTGCGGCCTTCTTTAGATAATGTCAAAAATGCAGCACTAATGCTTTGTTATATATCTTTTAAATCAAGCAGATTATGCAAAAAAAAAAAAGGCAATGGGTGGCTCTGACATGAAATAAACGGCGACTCTGCAAGAAGCCACCTGCAGTGAATATATTTATCGTAGAGGTTGTGCATGTGGTGACAATTTAGTTACCACCGATTTGTGCGAGAAAGAATCAATAGATGGTGCCGGCATCAAAGAATGATGCTGCGGCGTAGTTAACGCTTGAGGTCTATGGGAAAAGAATGGAGGAATTGCAAAGGTTCCCGCAACCAGCATGCTATCTGGACTAACAACATGGAATGGGCGCAAAAAGAAGCAATGTGACTACATCGGATAATCTGGCGAATTCATCAAATGTAGGACGACGGGATCAGGTAACTTAACTTAAAATGAAGTAAGCCTTTGTATTAGAATTTTTCGATGTCATTAGGGTGGAGTAAAGCGTACACACGGATTGAACACGAGTGTTTCGACAGCATTCGCCCGGGCGTCCTGACCTGTAAATACGTAGAGCTCGGAATCGGGCTCAATCGCTGAGTTGTCGGCCAGGGTGGAGAGTAAAAAGCGAGACTATCTTAATCGTAATTTAGTTCTGGCCGATTTAATACTCTACGATGTTTTCAATAAAACATTTTCGATAAAACGAATTCCCAAGAAAAGCATTTATTTACCGTTTGTCTATCATTTGATGCTTTCTACGCGCTTTTGGCTCGTATTAAAATTAAATAAGCACGGAGCAAGAAAGATGTATATAAGGCTAAACACGAGCAAAAAAGCATCGCTCATTTTAGCAAGTTGGATCATTGAGCTTCCTTTCAACCTCGCATTTAGTTCGTCAGTAACTTAACGCCCCATTGCTAGTAATTGAGAATGTGAAGGAAACAGGAAAACTAGCAAGGTAATGATGTATCATTTGCGTGCGAATCAGAACTCGTAAAAAAGCAAAAAAGGATACTAAGCCAACCGGACAAGTATAGCTGCTTTTGTTTTAGTATGGCTGGGGTTATATCGATAGACCATTGTTATTTAAACTATACTTAACATGTAATCGCCCGTATTGTTTTCTTTCTAATGGCTATCGGTGTTCGAACGAGTTCATAAATCAATCGGCTATCTCTAGTAAAAAATCTTATATGTGTAAAAAATATCTTTGTCCAATAAAGGCGTATGATCAAATAAGATCTGATGAGAGCACGAAAGAACAATAAAAGAACATACAAGATCGATAGGCGATTATATAAGAAGCTATAAGGAACTGATAGGAAGTTTCTTATAACTTCTTATAAAATCGTATGTTGTTAATATATGTTTTTATATGGTTGCTCTATGCTCTTATAAGATCTTAATAGATCAAATGCGTTTATTAGACAAAGTCATTTCTTATACATATGAATTCGTTTTGCTAGGAATGTTTAAAAATGCATGTAGTTGTAAACCGTCACAAATCGTAAGCTACGCTGATTTAAATAAAAATATATATTTGATTCGAGTCAAATAAATTTGATTTAAATCAATCATATTTTATTAAATAAAATAAATCATATTTAAATGAAATAAATCAAGTTAATGTGTTTTTTTTAAATTACATATTTACCCTGGTTGGAGCCATTCCAGTGTGAGGACATCATGTGAAGTTAGGTTGTTCACAGGCGCTGATTATTCAAGCTAGTATTGGGTTAGGCGACTTCTGTTCAGCAATTACACGCAAACTTTTTCAGGGCTGTTACAGACACTCACACACGCGCTGCTGGGCCGCGCTGGGCGAGGCGCACAAGTTTCGCAAGTCACGGCGCGTAACTGTTTTTTTTTCCCCGACGCTTCATACGAGATGCCGCCAAGTACGAACCATAAAGTCACCACGTTTGCCTTCCCTTCTTGCTTTGCTGATGAATGGAGCTCGCCGCGTTTGAATGCTTTGCACATTAAGGGGTAAAAAAAACAAAAATCTATTTTGTCACGCTTTGCCGCCACTGCAAGTTGGCGGGGAAAAAATGCGCCGCTTGCATTTCACAGGCACTGCTTGGCATCATCCAGCAATCATTGTCCAAAAACGCGTTATTATCTGCTTTATTTTTTTTCAGTATGTCCAAATCATGTTCCAAGAAATGTTTATAAAATTATGAGAAACTCCTTTTGTAATAGCTGGCAGCTTATGAAGTGCAGGGGGTGGCGAGTTCCATGCATCTTATTACCGCTGCACAGCCAATGCGATTGCTGCTTGACCCGGAAAAAAACGCAAGATAACCAATCACAAAACCAGGAATCTGAAGTTACAATAATGTATAACAAGCTTAAACAATGCATAAATAAAGTGGCGTGAGGTAGCGTAAAAGTGAAGTGATAAAAAATATTACCTATAAAAAAGGCCGTTCACTGTTAAGTTAGTTTGTGCAGTATTTAACTGTACTGATTCCTAATGAATCTTGTGATTCATTCACCGCGACAAGGCAGCCAAATTTTATGTGTTTATGCACCCCCAAAAACCGTGCGTGAAACCAAACCTCCCGTATGAACGCTTCTAAACACGTCGCGAAGCAAACATTAAATGGTTATTCACTTTCGTATGTTACATTTTACAGTTCCTGCCAATACAATCATCAGCCACCGGAGCAGTTGGAAAACATCACGGACATCCTGAAGAACATATTGGAAGGGTACGACATTCGCTTGAGGCCGAACTTTGGAGGTGAGTACGAGGCAAGCTCTTATAGAAACTTTCCCGAAAAATTACTGTGTCGCGTTGGTTCCTATAAGGCGTTCACTGTGAATCTTGACGCTGTAAAACTACCCTAACATTTCGACGCCTGCACATATAAGTCTCAAACTTGCACCAGATGTGCATGTAGGTGGAGCGTATTACCTGCTTAAATGTCAAGGCGTAGTGCCATCCTCATCAGAAACGAGACCAAAGAACTTGCCAGGGTCAATGCTGTTCACAGACAATTGAGTCAGCGGCAGTTGTAACTTGTTGCGCCATCTCCCGATGTGCGCAGCAAGCAGACGACAGAGTGTGTCGTCTGCTCGCTGTAACATTATGAAATCAATTAAACATGAATGTCTCAGAGCGTATGACACATTTGGTTTCAAACAATGATGTAGGGCCCAAAATAATACACACTAAACAATCTACACAACTTGTGTAAAATAAAAAAGGAGACATTCACATGGGTCTGGAAACGCTCTTAATCTGTATGAGTCATTAAAGGTATTGCGTTGACGTTTACCACGAGAATGCATTATACGTTCATGAAGCAAATATTTTTCAAGAAAGCCGTTTATAACGAACCAGCGTGAAGAACGAAGCATTGATCACTTCACACTAGCTGTTCTTTTGTTGGCTTAGGCTGCCCTACTCTACATCGATCAGACTGAGTTGATCTCAGAGTAATTTAAGTTAGCTACAAACACTTGACATAATTGCGGCTCGTCGCTTTAGCGTTTATGTTATTTTCCGTTGACCAAAATGTTAGCGAAAACCCCAATCAAAGCATGTTGGGAAATGTACTTAAAGTTTATGAAAACATGTTGTTAAACTAATTTTATTTTTTAAATGCGGCCTGTCTAATTTCCGAATTCAAAATGCAGAGCTATTCCGTGGGGCTATGCGAGGAATTGGTGGGTTGCATTTGAAATATCAGGAGGTTGCAGTTGAGACTAACAAGCCGAACGGTATGTTATTCTGTTGACAAACAACTACATTAAGTGACTATTTTATTTCTAGAGTTCCTCACCTCACTACATATACATTTTAGTTTTTATGGAGATAGGCAGTGTTCCGTGTTTCTTGACGAATACAGATAAAGCTAAAAAATTAACTCCCGAACCAGTTTCATCAAGAATAAGAAAAACCGAAAATCAACGAATTGGGACTGGCATTAGATCCAAGCTTCATGGGAAGATAATTTTTATTTGCAGCTTTTTCTTCGTGTTGACCCGGAAAACAGCCCCCACTGAACTATGTGTAAAGCTGAAAAGCTGCTTGGATAAGATATGTGGTTTCTTGGAAACAACATACCTTATCTCGTTCCTTTCTGGTATTAGTACAGGGACCTTTCTTTACTGTGCTTTGAACACGAAGGTGTTCAATGGCGCTTGGTGAATCCGATGCCCGTAGTATATCTTCTTTGACATAAACTCCGATAAACCTCAATTATCCCCCCCCCCCCCCAAAGAAAAAAAAAAAGAAAGGGGGGAAAGGTATATTGCAAAGCGTTTAATCTCGTGGGGAAATATACACCACGGAATGAACGCGCGATAATTCGAAGAAAAAATGAACCCCGAGAGGGCAGAACTTTATTTATAAGCCTGGGAGTGCAATTTAAATCCACTTTTAAAACGTAACTGCTTATATTGCTGTCTTTGCAGGGAAACCACTTTTTATAGGAATGGACATCAATATTGCAAGTTTCGATAGCATCTCTGAAGTCAATATGGTAAGTTTCACTCCATGCCATAAAAGCTGGTGAGATTATTTCGCTCTACTACGCTATGCCAATAAAAAAAAAAAAAAAAATCAAGCGACAGATGAAAATTAATTTGTGCAAACGTTCGGTTTGATTCTAATTTAAACAAGCAAGATTTAATTTAAAAAAAAAAGCACCTGACAGCTGGGTCTTTGAAACTAAAAACACATTCTTTGAAAAAATTAGAACCATCAGTTTGAGACGAACTTAGTTTGAAATGCTACCTGGTGAAGTCATTACTTGATTTATTCACGCATTTCGTCGGACCTGTGGGCTTCATGAACGACCGAAAATATTTTTCTTTTGCGTATAAGTTCGCTTGCTATGGTTTTCTCGAATGTCAGAAAGGGAGGAACCATAAACGTACTATTGAGACTCAGGCAGGAGTGTGATTTTCTATTAAAATACTCGCTAAAGCACCATACGAGAAAGAACAAAGCCTAGAATGTAAGTTTAATTAACACGAATGCGTGATCCAAACTGGAGTTAAGCAAACAAGTTATTGTCATGCGCCCATTGATCTCCCGGTGTTGTACTTTCAGCGGCGCTGCCCATTGTGGCCTATAGGAAAGCCACTGAGGAGTCTGAACAATTGAGACGGGAGAACTTCGTGTTCAACGCTGGGTTGAAGTAAATGCAAAAAAATCGAAGGACGCATCGGAGTTGATTCTAACGGAAGACATGACGATGACAGGCGTGAACCTCTTAGCATTGGTCACATGTTTGCGCTATTACATAAACACTGATATGTAGTAAGAGGAGTACGTTCAGCATGTCCACGGAAAAGCCGCATCGTATATTCCTATTGTAGCTGAATAACTCGCAATACTTTCCTGCACCGTGTGCTTGAATCTCGTTTATTGTGTATATCTTACTATATTAGGTTAATAATCTGATCTTGTCTTGTGTGTTTATGTACTGTCCTTTCTGTGTATTGAACATGTGATGTAAATAACATTGATGCCAATAATTTTAATCTTGATGTCTCGCTGGTGTTGATGCGCTTTTTTATTTATTTGTTTCTGTTCAACGTTGTAATCATTGACTGGCAGTAAAAAAGGTTTCAGCGGTGTTTTGCGAAACACCGTGGACACAATTAGTCGATAAGTATACCAGAAGAGGCTACCGTGATAGCGAAAAACGTCAAACTCCTTACAAAGTTTAATCACGCACCATTGGACATCGATTTCAGCACAAAGTCAATGATTGGTTGCAAGTCGACGCGAACACTGAATGCAGCAATCGTGTCCTATACATGTCCAATGTGCATATCTAAAATTTGGCGGCCACGAATGATTGGCACAGTAATTACGGGATTGCGTGCACTCTTCAAAAAAAAAAAAATCCACGGTTACGGGCATCGTAGGAAATACAAGGAATGGCCTAACATGTTCACTGAGTTCAATTCATGATTTCTCCTTGGGCTTTTTTATTGGCTAGCGGCACAACCACATTGTTCGGAGAGCGATAGTGAAATACTGAAGGCTCGCCGCACCATCTCTGTTTTAAATTGCAAATGACTGCACACGCGTTTTTTTGTTTTTTTTGCATTAGTTGTAAATGACTAAACCGACATAGTCCGAGCGCCGTGGGCACTAATAATTTTTGAGTAAACGCAACATGATGCCGTTTTGTTTAGTGAATAGAAAGAGGAACCTGGCCTTAAGAATAGATAAAAAAGAGCCGAGAACGCTTATGACTGCAAGGTCTACAGCGCGCCCCTCCCCCTCACCCCCCTCACCCCCCTCACCCCTCCCCCCCCCCAAAAAAAAAATATACATAGATATATATTTCAATGATAATTTCGCAATGTCGAACGCTCATACTCCGTCAAAATGTTGCGCTAGCACTCCGAATAATTTGCCGAAGCTTTAGCATTTTCTGAAAATTAAAAAAAAAGGAAAATGGAGTTCGTTTCCACCTGTTTTTGGTTACCGGCGCCGTAGAGCCCCATGTATCTGAAAGTCATATGTCGGCCGCCATTTTCTTAATGTCAAGTTCAGAAAGGCAAAAAAAAAGAAAAAAAAAAAGACAGCGTATTTTTTTTTCCTTTTCTGGGCGGGACATCTTGTACATTTCTGCCTTTCGGCGCCTCCCCTGTCTGGCAGGACTACACGATTACGCTGTACCTGAACCAGTACTGGCGGGACGAGCGGCTCACCTTCAGCAAGGAGAAGTACGAGCTCACGCTGTCCGGAGACTTCGCCGAGAAGATCTGGGTGCCGGACACGTTCTTCGCCAACGACAAGAACTCCTTCCTGCACGACGTCACCGAGAAGAACAAGATGGTGCGGCTACAGTCGGACGGACACATCACCTACGGCATGAGGTGATGCGCACACCTTCATCATGCAGAGCGCACACCGGGCAATCACGCCTGTAGCCGGCAAGAGGTTGAAGACCCTGTCGACGCCCTGCTTCCCCAGCCTCGAGCATTCTGGCTTTCATAACACTTTGTGGCACACATAACCAAAGCACGGTGGAAGGCATCGAGCGCGTGCTGGAGGTGGAGCATCGATCGGGTTCTTAACTCCCTGATCCCCATCGTGTATGACCATAGCCTCCTACATACTGACAAAGCCTGGCAGATCGCCACGAAAAGCGGCCGCCGAATTGGAAAAGGTGGAGCGGCAGACAACGGATGAGAGAAGAGCAACGTGACTTGCACTCCGATACGGCGAGTCGCCGAAACACACTTATCCCGGGCGAACAAGTGTGTTTCGGGTCCTCGCCGCTGCAAAAGCTGCGCGGTGACGTCCAGGTTTCCCAAGAAAGGGCTCTTTGATGCTCTGTGCTACCAGATCCTGGAGTTCCAAATCTGCGACCGGGCATCCTATGGCTCCGTTGCCGAACTGCCAGGCTTTGTGAGTATAGAGGAGGCTATGGTATGGTGTGCACCTCAATAAATCTAGCACCCTCTATCGCACTTGGGCAGGAATGCCTGGGCTTAGCAGTGAAGGGTCAAAGAAGGCATCTTTATTACTAATCACTCGGCCACTAAAACCAAAGTCGACAGTGGATGTGAGGTGTAGCGGCGTGTACCGTTCGGCTCTAAACACTGAAAAAGGACAACAGGTGCAAATATTCCAATCCGGCTACACCTTTCTCTACTGCGCAAACTTTGAGACGCACACGCTCCTTTTTCCGCGTCGTAACTGCTTTCAGTTGTTCGACATGAAGTAGTGCTGCAAATGTCCAGTGTTGCTCGCGAGCATCATTTCAAAAACATGTTTACAAAAAAAAAAAAAACGTAACTTTTTTCTTTTTTGATATCAAATTTTTGTTATTTTGTGCATTGTAAAACCACGTGAGGCTTTGTAGGCCTCTGGATTTTCAAGTAAATTTTTGTGCATCAAAGGTTTATCCTGTCACCGTCTATCATTAACGCTTGTTGACTGTTATTAAAATAGCTTCTGATTAGGCACTTACGCGTGTCGGTATTTTCTTTGTATCTTTTTACAGAGAGGTAATTAAGTTGCTTTTCTTCCATCGCGAGCTTTTTATTTCCTCTTTCGCATCAAAGTCTCATAGGCCTCGAGCATGCACGCGCGGGCAAAGCACGATGAAAGGCGACGCGCGCGTGCTGTATGCCAGACGTTTGAAAAATACCCCTTTTGTGCTCAATGACTCTAGAACAGGTTCTAGAGAAACAAAATTCGGTTTCTTTCCACAAGAAACTTTCGCTCGAGAATAGCGCCTCAATGCGGACATCAGATATTGTTTACCCTAAGTGAGAAGAAATAACAAGACATATATTAGAATATTTCAAAAATAATACGAAACCAAACAGCGGGAAATAAATGGGCAAAACACAGTCGACCCAACCATAATTTGTCCAACGGCACGTCTTGTTTTTACACGCTGTTTGATTCGACCAAGATCTACCAATTAGCTTTGAACGTCAACATTAGAAAAAGAAAATATAGGCCTTTTGTTGGATCTCTTCAATAAGCAAATGATGAAATCCGAGAAACGTAATTTACTGTGAGCACACAGACATTGAAGGCGCGATGGTGTTAATGAACGGTGGATGCCTTGTCTCTGGAGTGAACTATCCCAAGGGACTCCAGGTATTTCCTTGTGTAAGTGATGTCACAGTCCATGTAGCATATTTCTGGTTTCGGTGAAATTTGTTTGTTTTTATAAACAAATAAGGGTCCCCGTAAAGAGAAACACGTGTGAGTGGTGTCCTAACATCCAACAACGTTGTTCAAAAATTGTTGGGGTGTGAGGTATTTTTTTTAACACTATGGCACGCTTCATATTATTTCCACTTTTTACACTTTCCCTCTCTGCCACAACTGTCTGTTTCCATTCCATTCCCCTTCTCTGCTCTCAAATATACCTTCCCCTCTCAACAAACACCGCGCGGAAGTGCGCAAGCTACGTCTCTTTTTTCATTGTTTTTCTCTTCTTCGATTTCACCTCTACTTGAAAGAAGAGCAGCCAAATTATGTTCTGCCCTTCAAAAAATTGAAGTTGTTCCTTGGCTTTTGAGGCAAAACAGTATTTTATTTCTACCTAGCATTAAATTATAAACCCTAGTATTACCTATTAGGCGATCCGTGCAAAAGAATCATTCTTACATCGAGTAAACAACATGAAATCTACATTTGCGTTGACAATGGGTTCCAAGAACGTAGAATTGATTTCCACTGAATATCAGTCTGTTTTTCGTCAACTTCAACTTACGTGACAGGTTTAAATGATACACCAGGCGCGTTTTATTTACTCGCACCAGCTTACACCACTGCACGAAAGTCTAAAGGGGAACGCAAACTTGCGCTGCGGCCGTGGTGAGCCGGAGCAAATTGACAGCAAAGCCGGAGAGACTTCACTCCTCGCCACGACACGTGTCGTGTGTTATGAAGGGGCAGGGCAAAGAACGACATAGAACACGTGACGTGTTCCATGACAAAACAACCGCATGCTACCAATCACGTTCACGAGCGGAGTGGAGAGAAGGTCAAGGTTTCGGCAAGGATTGCGTGGCTCGGGAGTCGGGCATCGCGGCGTCGCCCGACTCCCGTGCGAGTCCACGCACCGAGCACGTGGACAGAGACAGTTCCATCGGTGGGCCGGTGGGCCAGTCACATCGCCTTTCCCCCATCTCAGATTCATCACATCTCGCTGTTGTGTTCGAAAAAAAAAAAAGAAACGGAAAGGGAGTTTAGCTTTTCTGATGGAGTTGTGGGCCGTTCACGGAGCATGCCGTTAGATTGCATACCCCATAACGCAGTGCGGATACGTACAGAACACGTGCTTTAACGTGGGTCTGACCCGTGAATTGACTCTGGTGGTGCGCATCGAGGGGAGTCATTGCAGGAAGTGTAGGCAGATCGAACAATTCTACTATAGTGACTGACAGAGTAAGAACTGCAGGGCGTGTCTTTCGAACTCCGGGTCTCCAGCACGCGCTTCGTGCCTTCCCCTTTTGCAGTGCATTTGCATTTAAGATGCACGAGGCGCCGAAACGTTGTCAAAGCTTGGAATAAACTGAATCTCATCAGTGCCGTTCTCACCCTTTTAGTGACTCATCTATTTAATGTGTAGATTCGCAATTATAAAGATTTTTTTTTAAGTGAAAGCCGGAATCTTTGTTATAAAACCAATATAGAAGAGATCCCGACACATCGATATCTGCTTAGCACTCTTCCTACAAAGCTTGTGTGTTTTCCTCTCACTAAAATGTCACTTTATTAAAAAAAAAAAACATATAAGACAACCAGTTTTTTTTTTTTTATCAAGCACGTGCACCTTCACTCCTTTAGGTTCACGACCACGCTGGCCTGCATGATGGACTTGCACTACTATCCTCTGGACTCGCAAAACTGCACCGTCGAAATCGAAAGCTGTAAGTCACAATTCAAATGCTTTACTACCCTAACACATAGAAACAGAAAGAATAAACTTAGGGACGGGCGGAAGAGCACGAAATAGGTGCTGTTCTGTCCGTCCCTATGTTTGTTCTTTCTGATTTTATTTATCTTCACCAACACGCTCACGTCAAACTACGCTAACAGTGCGGTGGAAAGTTACTTGCATGCTGGACAGTCGCACTTTAATCTTTCGCCACGTGATAACTCTCTCGCTCCTACCCACGAACAAAGAGCAAGGTCAGGCGATCAAACGGAGGCGTTCGAGTGGTCCAGCGAGCGCGTAGCTTCCCTTAGCACTGGCAGCTTAGGGGTGAGGTGAGTGTACAAGAGCGCGTTCAATAACAAAACCAGAAAAGAGAAACTTCTTCATATTCGATTTTGACTCCCTCCTTTTTAATTTTTTATTATTAACTGTTTAGTTACCATCTAAATATCAGCTTGACGTTTTATCCCATGGTGTATTTTCCAAATAAAACAACATAGTGTTTACCGCTCGATTTGAATATTGCCGCGCGCAAGGCTGAGAAAGCAACGCTCGGTCACGGTCCTCCAGAAAGTTCCCGTTTATTCATGTACCACACGTAACTTCTATCATTTATCCCTGCTTTTGTTTTCTAGAAAGTGCGTGTTCATTCTCGCCCCGATCACGCGACGCTCGAACCGCTTTCGCCGAATCTTCGAGATAGCGGCGCACTCTAGATAAGAGGCCGCCCGCGACCTTGTCGAGTCAGTCTCGCCTTAGCGCTCGATTCTGCTGACACGCCGACTTCGACGCCCGCGACGCTCTGCTTTCTTCTGTTTCCTTCTTTATTTTTGGCACAAGTTCGCCACATTAAACGTTTATTTCTTTCTGTTTATTTCCCGTTTTTTGTTTGGTCACCACCCGTGACATTTGGTGGAGGTGCGGGGTACCGCATGCCCCTGCCGCGTACCCCTCCGAGGGCCCACAGTGCAAGTCCGACGCCTAGCCCACGAAGAACCGACGAAAGCACTTCCGAGATCCGGTTCAGTCGTCGCACCCAAGGTCTACACCCGGAATTCGGACCTCTACCGCCCAAGACTAAGCAGCCAACGAGGCCAACGATGGACAGCCAGTCGTCCCAGAACCCGTCCACCGCCAGCGTCGTATACCTGCCCGTCGCGCCCAAAACTCCGACGCCTTTCCACGGAGACACCCACGAGGACATCGAGGACTGGCTGCAACATTATGAACGTGTGGCCCGACATAACGGGTGGTCAGCTGAGCACTGCTTGCAGAACCTTTACTTCTCGCTGGAAGGTACTGCAAGGTACTGGCTGGAGAACCACGAGGCTTCTTTAACCTCGTGGGAGGTGTGCAAGCAAGAGCTAGTGAAGACGTTTACCAGCCAACACCGACGCGAGAGGGCCGAAGACATCCTTCGAACAAGGACCCAAGGTCTGAATGAAAGCATCACCAGCTTCGTTGAGGATGTTCTTCGCCTGAGCGCCCGCGCCGATCCTCAGGCTACAGAGGAGAAGAAGCTGCGACACCTGATGAGGGGTGTCAAAAGCGAGATATTCGGAGGTCTCATTCGCAATCCTCCGACAACTGTCGACGGGTTCGTCACGGAGGCGACGAATATGGAGCGTGCGCTACTAGCACGCGCCAGACACTACGAGCGGCACCCTGGCGTGACTACTCTGGCGACATCCGGATACGACCTTGGTACCGACCTCCCAGGCATCCGTGACATCATCCGTGAAGTCGTCCGGGAAGAAATCCGCAAGATGCTCCCCGCTACGGATCGCTCGTCCTCCCTGTCGCTCGCCGAGGTCGTCCGAGAGGAAGTCCACCGAGCCTTCCAACCTGAGATTCCGATCAAAACGACGACGCCAGAGGAGCCTACTTTGAGCTACGCCGCCATGGCCCGAAGATCGCCGCAAGCTAACCGCCAGACCACGGCGCCACCCCGACGAGACCCTCCGATGCCACAGTATCCTCGACGCCAGGAAGGACAAGTCCACGACGTTCGCCCGGAGCAACCCTCGTCGAGGAAGACCGACGTGTGGCGAACGGCCGACCGACGCCCGCTCTGCTACCACTGCGGGGAAGCCGACCATGTGTACCGCCGATGCCCATACCGACGACTCGGGCTGCGCGGATTCCACCCAAACGACCCGCGCCCCCGGTGTGGTGAACGCCCTCGGGAGATCGACGAGTACCTGCGACGACCCCAGTCCCCCGAGCCTGCGTCCCGCCGAGAGTTCCGGTCGCCATCGCCACGACGTCCAGCTTCGCCGATGCACCGACCCCGACGTGAAAGCCTGTCGCCCCTCGCTCCTCGCCGGGGAAACTAGGCGCGGCAACCCCTGGAGCTGGAGTTGCCGAAGACGACCGACGTAAAGAGCCTCCAAGAACGCCGGAGCGCTCCCACTCTCCCGACGCCACGCATCGCTACGACGCCCCTGCAACGGTGTCCAACAACCTAAACGTCGTCATCGACGGTCACGACGCATCGGCACTCGTGGACACCGGAGCAGACTACTCAGTCTTGAGTGGGAGGCTCTCCCGCCGCCTTCGAAAAGTCATGACGCCGTGGGAAGGACCCCAAATACGAACCGCCGGAGGACATCTCATCACACCAGTCGGGAGATGCACTGCTCGCGTCGAGATCCACGGTGAAACGTGCCCTGTCAAGTTCGTCGTTCTGCAAGACTGTTCGAGGGACGTTATCCTCGGAATGGACTTTCTCTGCGAGTATGGCGCCGTCATCGACCTCGGAACAAACCGGCTGACGCTACGAAAACCTGCTCCACCAGCGGAGGAACCCGAAGCGACGTCACCCACGGTCCGAGTCCTCGCAAACCACGTAAACCTACCACCGCGGTCGAGTGTTTTCGTACTTGTCGGGATCGATGAAGCTTCCTGTGGCGAAGTTCTTCTCGAGGGAAGCCTTCAATTGCTCCTGGGAAGAGGCATAGGCGTCGCAAGGGGAGTAGCTGAACTTCAGGATGGGCGGACTGTGGCCCTCGTGACGAACTTCCGAAACGAAACGCAACACCTCACGAAAGGTGCAGCCGTGGGCCACGTCGAGAAACTCCGAAACCCCGCCGAAATCACTGCGATCACTGACGAATCCTCGCCGCCCCAGCAAGACAGTGCGTCGCCAGCGCAGCTCGACATTGACCCTAAGCTTCCGGACCCTGAACGGCGTCAGCTGGTTAACCTCCTCGCCGAATACCGCGACTGCTTTGCGACGTCGTCGAAGGTGCGCCAGACCGCGGTTGCCAAGCACCGCATCGTTACTGAGGACGACGCGCGCCCTGTGCATCGATCGCCGTACAGAGTCTCCGCTAAGGAAAGGGAGGTGATCCATCAGCAAGTTCAAGAGATGCTGAATGACGACATAATCCAACCTTCAAGCAGTCCATGGGCCTCTCCAGTCGTGCTGGTTAAGAAGAAGGACGGAACTCTTCGGTTCTGCGTGGACTACCGGCAGCTCAACACGGTTACGAAGAAAGACGTCTACCCACTCCCCCGCATCGACGACACTCTAGACCGGCTGCGCCACTCTCGATACTTTTCATCGATGGACCTGAAGAGCGGCTACTGGCAAATCGAGGTCGACGAACGGGACCGAGAGAAGACAGCCTTCGTCACGCCGGATGGACTGTACGAGTTCAAGGTGATGCCCTGCGGACTATGCACAGCGCCAGCAACTTTCCAGCGTGTCATGGACACCGTACTGGCAGGGCTGAAGTGGCAGAGTTGTCTCGTCTACCTTGACGACGTCGTAGTATTTTCAGCTGACTTCGACGAGCACTTGAGACAACTCCGAGCTGTTCTTCAAGCCATTCAGACCGCCGGACTCACACTCAAGCCGTCAAAGTGCCGGTTCGCCTATGACGAACTGAAGTTCCTTGGCCACGTGGTTAGTAACGAAGGCGTCCGCCCAGACTCCGAGAAGACTCGCGCCGTCGCGGCATTTCCAGCGCCGACAGATAAGAAGGCCGTGCGAAGATTCCTTGGACTTTGTGCCTATTATCGACGCTTCGTTCGGGATTTCGCAAGGATTTCCGCACCACTTACGAATCTCACGAAGGACGCCAAGAAGTTCGAATGGGCCGAGGAGCAACAGCAGGCATTCGACGAACTGAAACGACGACTGCAGATTCCTCCTGTGCTTGGACATTTCGACCAGGATGCGGAAACAGAAATTCACACGGACGCAAGTAACGCGGGACTGGGCGCAGTACTAGTCCAAGTGCAAGAAGGCATCGAGCGAGTCATCGCCTACGCAAGTCGGACATTGTCCAAGGCGGAGAAAAATTACTCCACAACTGAGAAAGAATGCCTTGCGGTCGTCTGGGCAATAACGAAGTTTCGTCCGTACTTGTACGGCAGCCTGTTCCGTGTAGTCAAGGACCACCACTCGCTCTGCTGGCTTGCGAAGCTGAAGGACCCGTCAGGACGCCTCGCTCGATGGAGTCTTCGACTACAAGAGTTCAACATGACAGTGGTCTATAAGTCAGGCCGCAAGCACAGCGACGCCGACTGCCTGTCCAGAGCCCCCGTCGAAACCCCTTCCGGCTGCAGCGACAACAATGACGACGAGTGCTTTCTAGGAGCAGTGAACACCGACGATATGGCACGACGTCAACGGGACGATCCTGAGCTGCGCGCATTAATCGAGCACCTGGAAGGGGGCAGGAGTACCGTGCCACGTGTCTTCTCACGAGTACTGCCGACCTTCGCCATCCGACAAGGTGTACTCTACAAAGAGAACTTCGGCAACAACAACACACCTTGGTTGCTGGTAATCCCGAGTGACCTTCGAGAGGAGATCTTCCAAGCCTGCCACGACGACCCGACATCCGGACACCTTGGTTACAGCCGGACACTGGCCCGTATTCGTGAAAAGTATTACTGGCCGAAGCTCCCCAAGACCGTCCACCTATACACACGATCATGCCACGAGTGCCAGCGACGCAAGAAACCGCCGACGAGGCCGGCCGGACTTCTGCAGCCCATTTCTCCCCCAACTACACCCTTCCAGCAGATCGGAATGGATCTACTTGGTCCTTTTCCGCCTTCGACGTCGGGGAACCGCTGGATCATCGTCGCCACAGATTATCTCACGCGGTACGCCGAAACGAAAGCTCTTCCTTCAGGGACTGCTGTGGAAGTCGCCAAGTTTTTCATCGAGTCCATCGTCCTCCGGCACGGCGCTCCCGAGGTTCTGATTACAGATCGCGGATCTTCGTTCATGGTCCAGCTGACGCAAGAGATCCTTCGTCTCAGTGGCACCGGCCATCGTCGAACCACTGCATACCACCCGCAGACCAACGGACTGACCGAGCGACTCAACAAGACAATCGCCGATATGATCTCTATGTACGTCGACGTAGAGCACAAGACGTGGGACGAGGTGCTGCCCTACGTCACGTTCGCCTACAATACGGCGGTTCAAGAGACCACTGGATTCACCCCTTTCCAGCTGGTACATGGTCGGAAGGTAACGACCATGCTGGACGCCATGCTGCCCCATGAGCCATCTGACAACGAGAGCGACTACGCCCAGGCGGTTGCTCAACGCGCCGAAGAAGTTCGCCAGCTCGCCCGACTCCTGATTCAAGACCAGCAACGCGTCGACGCCGGCCGCTACAACCTTCGTCGCAGGGACGTCCACTTCCAGCCCGGAGATAGGGTGTGGGTATGGACGCCCATCCGTCGCCGCGGCCTCAGTGAGAAACTGCTGAAACGGTACTTTGGACCATACAAGGTACTTCGTCGCCTCGGCGAGCTGAACTACGAGGTGATGCCCGACGGAACACGAAAATCGTCACGCCGCCCACCACGACCTGAGGTCGTCCACGTCGTGCGCCTGAAGCCGTACTACGCTCGATAGGACTGTGGACCTTTTGTGCTCCAAAAGACTCTTTAGTTTATCGTTCTTTTTTATTTTGATTTGTTTTACACTGCATCGGAGCGATGCACTTTTAAAGGGGGGAGTAATGCCGCGCGCAAGGCTGAGAAAGCAACGCTCGGTCACGGTCCTCCAGAAAGTTCCCGTTTATTCATGTACCACACGTAACTTCTATCATTTATCCCTGCTTTTGTTTTCTAGAAAGTGCGTGTTCATTCTCGCCCCGATCACGCGACGCTCGAACCGCTTTCGCCGAATCTTCGAGATAGCGGCGCACTCTAGATAAGAGGCCGCCCGCGACCTTGTCGAGTCAGTCTCGCCCTAGCGCTCGATTCTGCTGACACGCCGACTTCGACGCCCGCGACGCTCTGCTTTCTTCTGTTTCCTTCTTTATTTTTGGCACAAGGTCGCCACATTAAACGTTTATTTCTTTCTGTTTATTTCCTGTTTTTTGTTTGGTCACCACCCGTGACAATATTAGATAGACACATACTATTAAAAGCAGCGCTCAAACAAATCTAAATTACATATAAACTTGATAACTCACTAATAAAGACGTAATTGCACAAGCTAAAAGCCTGATGTGTAAATTTTTAAGTATTGTTTTAGATCACCCTTTTTTTGAGCAGGTTCATTATTAATCAGATGTCTTGTTTAGAAAAACAAAGAGAATATTGGAATTTTGAAGTGTTTCGAGTGTCGTATGTATGCATATATCAGCTGACTAGCTACGACCTTTCATTCCGGAAATTTGTTTGCAGCACGAAACATACTAATCGGAGAGATGGATGCTCGCCCTTAGGGATAACTGCTAACTCCTCATTTGTGGCTTCGACAGATGGCTACACCGTCTCCGACGTGGTCATGTTTTGGAAAGACCCCGAACCCGTGGTGGGCGTAGAACAGTCTGAGCTACCACAATTTTCCATCATGCGCTACGAGACCACGGACAGAAAAGAAAAATTGGCAACGGGTGAGTGTTGTTCATATCAAACTTGTACGTCCAATTAGTGTCCTCCAATACACTCCTGATTACGAAACTTGCGCCAGAGTTGAATACAATGCCAAAAAGTTCCGCTAAGTGCGTCATTGTCCGGAAGGGGGGCATTTTTGTTTGACAGCTCCACCCTAAGTGAGTCACCGCAAATTCGCAATTACAAGTAGTTAAAAGGAACTATTTCTTGTACACCAACATTTTGCTGCGAATGTATTGATCACTGTATGCAAGCATGGGTCATTTTTGTTTGATCTCTTAAACAAAACCTATAAGTAAGATTTTTTCGCTTTTTTTTTTTTCAAAAAAACTAATGTTTTTGCAAGTGAAAAAGAGTCCGTCAACGGAGAATAGTGCTTCGCAGTGACTATACTATATGATGATATTCGTGGCGTTCAATTATGACGGCGAGGGGGTATTCAAAAGTTATATCTAGAAAATAGTAAGGAATAAAAAAGTATAGTGTTTTGGCGATCGTTGCAGGCATGTAAGATTAAGCAGTTCATTGAGTGTACCGTGAACAGATCCGAAGGTGCTTAGATTAACGTTATCACACGTTATTGCGATGTATTGGTGGCTTTTTAATTGAGGGTTCAAAATTCCGACAGAGTTTCTGCTTGCCAGGCTCCCAGCAGTGCTGACTAGATTGGCGGCTCCTAGCACCCTTGTCGATGTCAGTGCCACGCATGGTCGCTTACCAAGCTCTCCCATTGCATTACCTGGAACCTTAGTGACCAGTAGCATATTGAAGGACTCTGGTCCAGCCAACACGGTGCATTAACAGCTAACCGATCAAAAGTAATATAGTTATTCATATTTTTACGTTGTTGGTGTGAGTATGGTCATCGACGTCGAATTTACTTTTCACAGTGCGTGCCACCAGAAAACATGACATTTGTTTAAAGAAATAAAATAAAGTATAAAAATTCTGGACAACATTTTTTACAGCGAAGCTGTTAAGGGCTAGGTTCCCCAGGATCGTGTCCATGTATGTCGACACAAGTCTACCTGGACAGCTACCGCCATCTATAAGCGACGGCGGCAAGCACAGAACCAGTATGGTTTCGCCGTCGCTCGTTGATGGCGGCAACCTTTCCAGCTATAAAAGAAGAATGGATAGTTGGGCGCGTTGGTGGGAATTCATCGTAGGAAACAGCGCGAAAAACAGACGACGACGAAGAAGAATCACGCAGTGTTTCGAGTACAGCTCCGCTGGTCTTTCTTCTTCACGAGAGTGGAAAGGCTGTACGTTTTGAATTCAATTTATTCACACAGCAGATAGACAACTTTTTATCTGAGACATACATATTTAAGTTGCGAATGACTGATAATGGAGGATCTAAACACCTGTTCTTGTTACAAAATAATCAGATACAACTTACTGTCACAAGTGACAATTGATGAGGCGACGAAAACTAAAGCAAGCTAAACGTTTAATGATGCGAACTTGTACCCAAAACAAAATAACAAAAGGCTAGCGTCGCAGGCATCGACATGGCGTAGCAGCAGGATCGAGCGCTGGGGCGAGACTGACTACGGCTCGCCACGCGGGGCCCCTAATATACAGGCGTGAGCTTCTGCAACAGTCGGCGTAGAAGGTTCGGCGCGTAGAACATCCGAACCTCGAATAAGAAACATAATTATCTAATACACCAGAACCTAACCTAACCATTCGGCCATAGGCACGCTGCCTACTTGGCTAGCTGCACGTGCGGCATTACTCCCCCTTTAAAAACTATATCGCCCCAATGCAACAAAATATAAATAAGTAATGGTCTATTGTAAAGTAACCTAGAACACAAAACGTCCACAGTTCTATCGAGTGTGTGTGTGTGTGGGGGGGGGGGGGGGGGCGGCCCATGACAAAATGCTGTATGAGGGGGAGGGGGGAGAGGAGGCCCCAGCAAAATGGAAGATATCGGGGGGGGGGGGGGGGGGGGAGCGGGCCCCGTGGGCCGCCCCCCTGGCTACGTGCCTGACGTGAACCACCTCGGGTCACAGCCGGCGGCGTGAAGAAAGCTGGGTTCCGTCAGGCGCGTAGGACAAAGAAGGCCCTTTCCTCTTCGTCCTACGGCAGATTAAATATGTTTAAAAAATCCTTTTGGCCTACCACTCACTGGGGTGTGGCAAACCACAAAGACCGCTATTACTTTTTGCGAACCGTAATTGACGAGGTGCTTACACAATCTTCTCCTGTTTTTTCAAAGGTTAGTACCCCATTCACACGGTCAACTTAAAGGTACCTTTAACATAGGTACCTCTGCTATGGCGAATCAGCCCGTGCTCTTTGGTCGCGAGCACACGCCACGCGCGGAAGATGGTTAATTGATTGGCCGCAGAGAATAAAGGTCCCTTAGCTAAAGCACGGCCGGACTGGAAGCGCTCGCTTCCAGTCCCGCCGTGGCTAAAGGTACCTTTACGGTCGTCTGAATGGGGTAGCCCTTAAGGCGCGAAGGAGTTCTTGTTCCTATGAAGGATGGTTATGCTAATGAGCTCTGCACCTTATCCACAGCTCCGGCAATGGGCTGACAAACGTCCCGCTGATGTACTTTGCACTGACGCTGCGTGCTCCCTTGCTCTTTCGTTTATACATCGCCAGTTTGGCCGATGTAGCTCTTCTCGCAAAAGAGAGGAATATGATAGACGACCCCCTTTCCGCATGGGCATATGGTCTGTTCTATGGGTTGTGTCACATTAAAGCCCCTTTATAGGGAAACGTCGCGACATCCTTTGAAGAATGCTGCCGGCTATCTTGGGTCAACCCAGACGGCGCTACCGTCGACGCCCGGGTGTAAAAAAGCAAAACATAAAGATAAAAGGTGTGTGCGTCAGAGGCGGAGGGAGGAGGAATGCCTAGGCTGTTAGAGTGCAGTGTGTGCTATGAGGTCATGTCGCCAATCAAGTAACGCCGTCTGTGCAACGTCACTGCTTTCATCGTCTTTCTTTGAGCACCTTCCTGGAGGCTGGTAGACCGTGGCAGTGCGCTTTTAGCCTGTGTGCCTGTATGCCATTTACTGCGCTCTGACTCAGGTATAGGAAGGCCGTCTGGTATCTTGGGCCAAACCAGGCGGCGCTGCAGTCGACGCGCGGGTGTAAAAGATCAAAACATATAGATAAAAGTTGTGCGAGTCAGAGGAGGAGGGAGATGATGTCGCTATCTTTTTTATTCAGGGGCATTATGTCACCCATCCGCTGTTGATCACCGCCTTTGTTAAACCTGCAGCATATGGTGTAAGCTTTGTTAGGTGCCGAACAACCAGCTGAATATCTTGCCTGCCTGCGATATATTTTAGCCTGTGGGTCACTCCATGGATGTAGTACACAACCGCGATTTTAAATCGCGTTGGTGGATTCACCGCTTCCTCACCGCTTGCTGCTTTCCGCTCCGGTTTCTTGGACAGCCTGCAGTAGGCAGAGTCCGAGATATTTTCTTACGGCATTCTTGTCAGATGGCGACGTAAATGCGGCTACGGTGCGCGTCTTCTCGGGGTTAGGGCATACATCTTCACTGCTCCCCCGACGAGGCCAAAGAACTCTAGTTCACCATAAGCGAACGAACGCTTTGTAGGCTTGAGTGACAGGCTGGCGGCCTTGATATCTTGAATCATGGCCCGAAGTCGTCTCAGGTGTTCGTCGAAATCCGTAAAAACACTACGACCCCGTCGAGGTAGACAAAACAGCTCTGCCATTTAAGACCTGCCAGCACTGTGTCCATGACCCGCTGGAAGGTGGCTGGTGCCGTACATAGTCCCAAGGGCATCACCTTGAACTCGTACAGTTCATCCGGCGTGACAGAAGCTATATTCTCTCTGTCCCGTTCGCCGACTTCGATCTGCCAGTAGCCACTCTTCAGGTCCATCGACGAAAAATATCGGGGGTGGCGCAGCGGGTCTAACATATCGTCGATGCAAGGGAGTTGATAGCCGTCCTTTTTAGTCACAGCGTTCAGTCGACGATAGTCTACGCAGAATCTCAGGGTGCCGACCTTTTTGCAAGGACGACTAGGGACGCCTAGGGACTACTTGGAGGTTGAATGATGTTGTCATTGAGCATTTCCTGGACTTGATTTCGTATCACCTCTATTTCCTTCAAGGAGACTCGGTTTGGCGACTGGTGAACAGAGAGCGCGTCGTCGTCAATAACGATGAGGTGATTCGCTACCGTTGTTTGTCGCACCTTTGACGTAGTGGCAAATCTCACCAAACTTGCTCAGAATGTCAAGCAGCCGTCTTCGTTCAGTCGCTGGAAGCTCCGGGTCAACGTCATGTTCCGAAGACGGCGTTCTCTCGTGCTGCGTTGAAGTAGCTCTTCCGAAAGTGCAGCGATCGCGGCTTAGTTCCAGAGTTCGTCGATGTGGCCCACGGCAATACCTTTCGTAAGAATCTGCGGCTCTTGGAGGAAATTTGTAACCAGGACCATCCCACGCGCCCGTATTCAACTTCCGTTATTCCTTTTACGACACCGATTTCTCTTTCTAGAAGAAACTGGACGCTTCCCTTAAGCTAAACGTCGCCGCTGGTAGCGTCATTGGTCCCGAAGGGCACGAAAACATTCGACCGCGGCTGTAAGTTCATGTGGTTTACAAGACCTCGAACCGCGGATGACGTCGCGTTGGGTTCCTCCTTTGATGGGACAGGCTTTCATACCGTCAACATGTCTGCTCCCAGATCGATGATGGAGGCGTATTCGCATAGAAAATTCATTGCGAGGATAATGCCCCTCGCGCAGTCTTGTAGAACAACAAACTTCACGGGGCATGTCTCATCAACTTGTGCAGTGCACATTCCAGTCGGCGTAATTAGGTGTTCTCCGGTGGTTTGAGCGACGGGACCGGTGCATCGGCGAAGCTGGACGTCGTGGTGACGGCGACCGGCACCCTCGGCGAAGTGCAGGCGGGGAAGTCTGAGGTAGACGAAGGTGCTCTTTCATCTCCCGCGGTCGCTCACTGTAGCGTGGGCGTGGGTCTTTCGGGTGGAAGCCGCGCAGCCCTGTTTGCCGGTAGGGGCAACGCGGTAGATTAGGTCGGCTTCCCCGCAGTGGTAGCACATCGGGCGTCGATCGGCCCGGGCGGACGTACTGGGCTTGCCCTTCCTGGCTTCGCGGATACTGCGTTATCGGAGGGTCTCGTTGAGGCTTTGCCGTATCTAGGCGGTTAGCTTGCGGTGGTCGTCAGGCCATGGCGGCGTAGCTGAACGTCGGTTCCTCCGTCGTCGTCATGTTGATGGGAACTTCAGGTTAGAAGGCTCGGTGAACCTCCTCTCGGACGACTTCGGCGAACGTTATTCTAGGACGGGCGATCTGCAGCGGATCGCCCGTCCTAAAGCAGCTCTTCCCGTACAACTCCGTGACGTGACGAAATAGTCTCCGTGACGAAATAATCGACGTTTGATGGGGGGTTGCGAAAAAAACCACCGAAGATGTCATCCTTCACATCTTGAATCAGGATCCGCCGCTTCTTTTCGTCGGTGGCTTGAGGGTCGGCGCGAGTGATCAGGTGCAGGACATCCTCGACGAAACTGGTGATATTCTCGTTTGTGCTCGTGGTCCTCATTCCAAGAAGGTCTCGGTCCTCTACCGTCGATATTGGTTGGTGAATGTCCGTTTCAGCACATCCTTGCACGTGGTCTACGAGGTCAAGGAAGTCTCGAGCGCAATGCAAAGACTCGGCAGGTGATGTTCGTCCGTCCTTCGGTTGTGCTGGGCCACTCGCTCGTACTGCTGTAGCCAGTCCTTGAAGTCTTCGTAAGACTCACCGTGGAAGCACGAGGGCGCGCGTGCAGCGACGGGTAAGACAACCGCGGGTTGTGTGGTCATCGCCGCAGTCTTCTTCATCAGCTTCTGTGACAGGGGACCGAATTCCGGGGATTGCCCTTTGGAACGGCGGCTTGTTCGGGCTTCGATATCTTCCCCGCACCTCCACCAAAATGTCACTAATAGCAATTGATTAGGTGGCGAAAACTAAAGCAAATTAAACATTTAACGGGGCGAACGTGGTCCCAAAACAAAATAGAAAAAGGCTAGCGTCGCAGGCATCGATGGCAGCGTAACATCAGGATTGAGCGCTGGGGCGAGACTGAATCTGGCTCGCCACGGGTGGGCTTCTGGAACAATCTGCGTAGAAGGTTCGGTGCGTAGAACATTCGAACTTCCAATAAGCAACGTAATTTTGGAGCACACTAGAACGCGGCATTTACAGAAATAACGAAACGGTGCGTTCGCTCCAAGACATCGAACGTTCGGCCCTTTGCGTGGGAGCCGAGCACGATAACCATTCGGCCATGGGCGCGCTGCCTACTTGGCTACGTGCGCGCCCGGCAATATAATTAAACTTGTCCATGCGGTCATCATTCCAACACAATCCGTACTACGGCGAAATTGATGGCATACACTTAAAGAAAACGTGTCCCATACTATTCATACGATGCAAATAAAACAAAATCAGTGTTTCGTACAAAATGTAACGAAACGTAAATAAAATCAACGTTTTCAAAATACAGTAGGCATATCGATTTTGTTTTTTTGGGAACAGCTTATTACAGTGTATGGATAGAAAGTGAATCCTTAAAATTCCTCGGTTATCTCTTACCGGACATACGTCCTTTTGATTAGTTATTCTCAGACAACAGAGATTTCTCCTAATAAAATATGAGTTTTATAATAAAGTGAGTAAATTCAATATTACTATTTGTAATAAATTTGAAGTGAAATCACGAATACCGAAACCGAAGCAAAATATAATGCAATATTTAATCTTTAGCTCTTCGCTAATATTATTTATTCCAATGTAATTTAAAGCCACAATTTATGTATGATATGGCCCTTAACAAAGCGTTCAATGAGCTTCTATGTACAATGCTATTTCCTGAAATGTTCCGACTATATTGAATCTATGGGCACCTTTCGATACTTTGCCGATAGTCCCATTACTTGGAGCGGCTTCTTGAATTTTTGTTTGCATATTATTGTGTAATTCGCCTCGGTAGGTTGACTAATGAATAAAATTGATGAGTAATTAGTTGTTTATACAGTGGAAAGTGTGTCTGCCTGATCATGGCGACATTGTGGCCAACTGTACGTGAGAAATTTAGCGAGTGCAGTACGACTGGTAGCCTATGGGTCTTTAACGTGCACCACGCAGTAGTGATTCATGACCGGACGCTGGTACGATGCTCATCCAGATCGAAACAGGTACAGGTGAGGATTGAACCCAAGATTCCTGGGTTCTACAGCTCCAGCGTTTGCTCCATGTGCTCCGAGCTGGTGTGCTCTAGCCCGCTCGGCCAGCGTCCTCTCAAAGTTTAGGCGATGTTGTTTTGTGTACGAACGATTCTTCGCCGCTCAGAGAAGAGGACGACGAAGGTCAAGGAAGGATGGACAGAACGCGAGGACAGAAACAGTTTGATTTTCTCTGAGCCTAGCTTCAGTATTAAAGGAGCACTTAAGTGCCTTTTTTTAGAAGATTTTTTGATGGCATCTTTGTTGAGCTGAGTTGAGATGGAAAGACGTCTTTGTAAAATCACAACAGTAGAAATACAAGGTTACTATTTCCTCCTGTGGAGCCATTTTCGGGTCTCAACCACCTTTATGAAATTTGACCACTAAAAATGGTTAATTGCGCTGAAATTCAAACGTTACTAAGATTGCTCTTTTCAGTCGCGTTGTGGGTTATATTTTGGCAGAAAGGTGAAACATTGGGGTGTCGGAGATGTAATACAGCAATCATTGCTTAAAAACGCTACCCAAGGGTGCCCCTTGCGAGGCTGACGTCGTCAAGATGCCCTATCTGTTCCAGCCACCGAAGAGGTAGAAGCACGCCAGCGATCGGGCCAGCGCAACTAACCGCAAAGCTGCTTTTGTATGAATTTTGAGTGACGGGTTAAACTTCTATAATAATGTAAAGGGAGAATAGCGATATCTGGGACACACAAAAGAGAGTCCCGTTAAGTGGGGAGTTCCTCCCTCCCCTCTTCTGTTGTGCTGGCCGAAGAGCTGCAGGGATAACGTCAGGTTAAAGGCTTGTATTGTGATAGGCGAGACAGTTATCGTCACTGCCTGTCAAGGTTCCTAGACGGGCATTACAAACGAGGCCTTAGCAAACCAGGTGGTCTTTGTTAATTGTTTCATTTGTTTTAAAATTCATTTTTGTGTATTTTTAACATAATTTTAGTTTGTCCGATGTGATACTGCTCTTTTGAACACTTATAGAACAAGACATAAGCGCCGAAGTTTTGTTGTAGTATCCCTTTAAGATATACCAAATCTGTTGTATTCTTGCAGGAACGTACCAAAGGCTGTCCTTGAGTTTCGAGCTCAAGAGGAACATTGGGTACTTCATCTTCCAGACCTATCTTCCTTCCATTCTCATCGTGATGCTGTCGTGGGTTTCATTTTGGATCAACCACGAGGCGACCTCCGCCAGGGTTGCCCTAGGTACGTCGAACGCTTATACGAAACCCAACTTATAATTAAGATAGCTATCTTTCTAAATACGTTGAAATTGAGATCTTATCCTATTACTTACGCTGGTCGAGCCGTTTAACGTAGTCACTTAAGTGGAATAAAAAAATATTTCTAAATACATGACAAGTGATTTCAAACTGCGCAGCCCTTTTTACGTGGTCAGGAGAGTTGTCAACATTGTGGGGAATTTTAAAGTTACGAGAGACGCCAGGGAAGTATTTCTATGCCGCGTCTATGTAGGATAAAACTTACAAGCCGTTCCACTCTGTGAAGGTCGACGACCAGCGAAGCTGCTTAGCACATGACACAGACGGTGTTTGCCGCCCACCGCCGCCGCTGACATTCTCGTTGCCGTTCCAGCCGTTGCTCTTCGTAGGCACGTTGCTAGACACGCGCGACAGGACGACCACCCGGCGGAAAGTAGACACGCGCGACGGGACTGCCACCCCCGGGGGAGGGGAAGGAACTAGGCACGAAAGAGCTTGGAACGGCGACAAAGAGAGGGCCGTGCGAGTTTTTGTTGAGGTACACGAAAAATATGGCTTCCGATCGATTTCAGCATTGTTTCAGGAGCAATACCAATAGGCGACCAACATCAAACAAAGTTTCTAGGGTGAATGCGTCTAGATTGAAACACCGTCAGCTCACGCCCACGGGAAGCCTTCTATGAGAAGTCCCCACCAGTGGTGCCTTTCTACTCTCGTGAACACAGGCAGTGTTGGTTCCTGCTTCGATAAGCACAAAACTCAACGGAGCCCTAGGCATAGACCACTTGACGGGACCGCCAGCCCGGGCACGCAGAAGGAACTAGGCACGGAATGACAAAAATAATCCCTGGAGAAGGGGAACAAGGGGGACAAAAAAAACAACAAAAAAAAACACAAATCTCCAGACACAACTAGTTGACTGGTGCGCGACCGAAAAAATCCGCCTGGTCCTGCTGTCGAACCAGGGACCTCTCCCTTTCCAGTGGAGCGCTCTGCCTACTGAGTTTCTAGCGTGGATGCGTCTGGCAGCTGATAAAACCCGCTTGCTTTACTGACATCCAACTCCTGGTTAGCTCAGTTGGTAGCGCGCTTCATTAAAAATTGAGGTCTCTGGTTCGATACTGGGACCCGGCGGATTTTTTCGGTCGCGCACTAGTCACCCAGTTATGTTTAAAGATTTATGTTCGTCCTTTGTCCCCTTGTTCCCCTTCTCCATGGATTATTTTCGTCATTCTTGTCCAGCTCGCTTGCACCTTTGCATTTAATTGCATTATAATTAGACACATAAGCGATTCGAACGACGACAAAGAGGGGGCGCTGCGATTTCTGTTGAAGTATATTTCCTGTATAGTCTCCCTACGGGAGCCAGAGTTGCGCGGTTATCCTGTAGCGCTGGCTTTCTTGCACGGCATGCGGAGTCAGCTCCTGACGTGACTGAATTGGGCGAACAGCGGCGCCGCGCCTTCCAGGCGCACGGCGCGCTGAAAAGCAGAGGAACGCAATGTCTACTTTCCTGCCCGGCATTTGAGTCTGCTCTTCACGTAATCGGATCTCGGCGAATAGCGGCGCGGCGGCGCGTGGTGAAGAGACGCGCAACCCTGGCTCCCGCAGGCAGCCTCTACAGGCACTCTATGCTGACGTACACGAAAAATCCATGAAACCCTAGCCATAAACCGCTTCGCTGTAAAGAAAACGGCACGCAAAATATATTTAGAATAGGTAGCCCGGTTGAGTGCTTTAACGTTGTAAAACTGTATTTGAAGAAGCTCATTTTTTTTTAGCGAGACGTTGACTGCTACTTTAAGGTTTATGTTAGGTTTCTGTAAAAAAAAAAACTCTCAATCTAAAAACGTTTTTAATATATTTGAGGCCTGTTACATTTCAATGTAAAACACTAAAAAATTAACCAGTATTCAGATTTACATAACTCAATACTGAAAAGACATATAATTAAGAAATAACTGAAACTCTGGTACTGTACGTGCGATGCTTAAAACTACAACTGTGGTTGTATATGTAAGGCCATCATAATTACGATATGAACGGAACTTTGTTCGATAAGTGCTTCTTTTGTTTTTGTTTGTTGTAGGAATTACAACTGTGCTGACGATGACCACAATCAGCACGGGCGTCCGGTCTTCATTGCCAAGAATATCATACGTTAAAGCCATTGACATCTATTTGGTCATGTGCTTCGTTTTTGTGTTCGCCGCTCTGCTGGAGTACGCCGCGGTGAATTATACCTACTGGGGAGCAAGAGCCAAGAAAAAAACAAAGAAAACAAAGGACACAAAGGTTCCGCCTCCGCCAAAGAGCGAGCCGCTCTATCCTGTAAGTATCCGTATTACTGGTTGTGGAAGTTTGTGTTATTTTAGGTGTACCTTGGCGTGAATATGAGGCCGTCAGCGCAGCGATGTCCATAGTAGATTGATTGTCGAAAACAAAAATCTGCTTTATTCAGATTTACGTTTTAGAAGTCTCTGTTTAGATATCTTAACATTCCTTGACAGCATATATGTCTGAATTTTTTTTTTAATGACCAACCGATTAGAGCTTTTTTTCTAGACTATTAGGACTTCAAGATAAATTCATCAATGCACAGTGTTCCACCAATATCACGCTAAAGTGCAATGCCTCCACAGTCAAATAAACGTATCATTCTCTATTACACTAATACCCCATATATACGGACACGTGCTGATTGTTGGACGAGTTGGTTTTGTACGTGAGAAAACATGATTGCGCTTTAAGACACGGACAGAGGAAGAACAGACACCATAGAGGGCTAACTTTCAACTGATTTAATTCAAGAGCCTCAGCGTAGATACACACTGCGTCACCGCACCGTACCTCAATCAATCCGTGGCCCCGCCACGAACCGCAAGTACACACTCTTTTTCCGCCAAGTCAATTAAAGCCACACTGATACAACACGTGCCGGAAGTATTTATGGCGTCCGCCTCAATTATCTGTCTGACAGTCTTATCTTTGTGCCCAGTTAGAGATAAGACTGCTAGAGAGATAAATGAGGGGGACGCCATAAATAGTTCCTGCACCTGCTCTATCACTGTGGTGCGCATGTAGAGCTTTGATGGACGCTCAAGTTGCGCAGGCGCAACTTGAGCGTCCATCAAAGCTCTACCTGCGCACTCTCTCATTCTTCTAAAATAGCAGTCCGAGATTTTAGTGTTTTAACTGTAGTAAGGCCTAACTGCAGTTAGGGATGACTTAACTGCGGTTTACGGCACCCATGTAACTGTGGTATTTTTCCCTTCAGAAAATTACGAATTCGTCTCTAAGGCTTTTGGAACAACCTTCGAATAAATGTACAAAGGATCAATATTTAAAAACGTGCTGACCAAAGATGCCTTTTTCCGGAGACGCTCTTCACCTCAGACACTCGTGTGTCGCACAGTGTCGCGTTGAAAGTTACATCAGCCGTTACAAAACATAGCGTTAACTGTCTTTCAGAACAACGAAGAGATCATCGAGCTTCACGACGTCCGCCTGTCTCCCATACCTTGCCTGCGCAACCGCCACAGGCCCATGTCCAACCCGGGCAGCGACAACGAGATAAAGTTCCCACCGTCCTTCCGCATGACGGGTCGCTTCCCATACAACCCAAGGAGCCTCCCGTCCGGCGCCTGCTACCGAGGCAGGGCAGCCAGGACAGGAGACTATGGCCAGAGGAGACCCAAGGTCTTTCAGACCCTCAAGCGTGGTGCCAGCGCCATCCGGGCTTCAATGCCACGTATCAAGGACGTCAACAAAATAGACAAGTACTCGAGAGTCATCTTCCCGATATCGTACCTCATCTTCAATGCCATCTACTGGTGTTTCTATCTCATGTGAGGATACCGCTATGAGGCTGAGGACATGGCGTCTGGTGGACTGCCTGAAAAAAGTCACCATTGCTGAAGACGATGTGATCTTTCATGAAGGTTTCGCAGGATGCCGCGGTATCTAACGAAAGGTGTCGCTGACGAAACTCTGTGCGTGGAATACTGAAGAATGTCTCAGGAACAGGTTTGTATCAGGAAATGAACTCTGACTGGCGATGCCTACTTGCGTTACGAACTGGGCCAAAGAAGCGATTCACCAAGGTATAAGATTTGCCCTAGTTCAAACTGACGTTGTCGTGGGCGGCAGATGGGGCCAAAGTATCAAAGCTGGAGAGACCTTTATAGAGATGTCACACCTTCTATGGTAACCATCACCTAAAATGGGAGGAGAGTGGCTAATACGTTTACTATCTGTGCTTGGCGATTGTTCCCTCGTTGTCCTTGATTAGGCAATGCTGTGATTACACTAGTTACTTTCTGATAATGGGATGAGCCGGCTTCGGCTCTAAGGGGGTATGTCACTAGAAATTTGTTCCGCACCCAAATTTAATAGACTTAAGTAGATATACCTGCGTATACAGTCCTGCAATGCACGCATACTGCCAATCATAATTTGTGATTTTGGATCTCGGATCTTGATCATTGTAGTGATCTATGCACCTGCGATAAGAAGTTTCTTTTTGCATCCAGTAACAAACTCATTGTCAGGGTTCACGAAGTTCTTGAAACATATCACCCAACATTCAGTTTGTTACACTCTCGAAGTGCATTGCTAAGCGGCATACCCAAGGAGATTTTTAAGCGTGTAGGAAGGCAGGGAAGGCTACGGGCCAATAGAATCGGTTAAAAGCCGGTAGCACACTACGTCACTTCCGTCCTCTGTATCAGGATGCATTTACTTCTCAGTCTTATGACAACGTAATTCTTATGCTTGTACGACCCACCAAGACAATAGTAGCGTTTCCCGTGCGAGACTATAGAAAAATACAGAGTACCGAATCAACCCGAAAAGAGGTCGATCACTTTTTGCACAAGACCCGCGCGTAAACTTTCGCAGCAGTCAACGCAATCCATGAAAGTTTTTCATAAAACTAGCAGGACCTCGGAAGGATTATATGAGCGGATAATTCGATTTTGGGAGCCCGTGACACGCTACGAATTGTCCCACAGTGGGCTTCGTGTTGATCGGCGCACGAGTTAAAATTTACTTTCTTGGTTTGCTAGGCTATTTTAAGATTGCCTTGATGAGACCTTAGGAGAGGGAGGGGGCTGTGTGCGAAAGTATACACACGGGTTTTCCTCCTAAAACAAATTTAAGACATTATAATCGGGTAAATCTGTGAATTTACTACTGTTATGATGGGTGTCAAGCGTTAGCTAATAGCACGACTGTAAAAAACAAAGAAAAAAAAAAAACAAAAAACAGAAGCTGTGATGGAGCGTGTTATGAAAGGGAACATTAAGCGAAGAAGACCTACGTGGACCAAACGTTGACAGGATTTGAGTATCGGTGAGGTCTAGAAGATGCTGCATTGACGGACGTGCGAAAGGTGTTTTTACAAAGATATTTTCTCAGGCTGGTTTAAATTATATTAGGAGGAGACAAGGTTCACAGACGTGTACGGAGAAACATAGCAACAGCACTGTCCTGCAGCGTGTTGGAAAGTATTTTTTTCCGTCGCTGTCAGTACTGTAAACGACAATATTTTGAAGGACGACGCCTGGGCTTTATAATTGCACCAATAAGGCTTGAATATGTAACCACTGGAGAGTAGTCCGGTCACTGAACAATGAATACAGTGCTCTCGAATCTGAGCAGGGTTGAATTTTAATTGCACGTCTCAATGAGCTTAAAGCGCATCTTCGTTTTGTATGAGTGGTCAGGCGTGAGTTTGTGCCCTACGGGCGAACGTTTCAACTGCAAGAAATGTTGAACTTTATCGGTTCTGTGATGAACTCTTAAAAGGACTGAAAGGTGTGCATCTTTCAAAATACATTTTGTGCCCAATGGCTCGCCAAACAAATATACTTTTCTGGAGTTATGCACCAAAGCTTGTGCTCCCCACACCCTTGCGAGCTATTGGTACTCTTTCTGTAGTAGTGTACGGAACAGACCTTGGAGGAGGCTAAGTGCCAGCGTATCAGGGAAAGATATTTAGACCTCTGACATTGGCTTCCTCTAACCGAGAGGACAACGGGTGATACTGGGAAAAGCTTGTTATATATGTCTATACAGATTAGGATAGCTTATGGTTCCCAAAATGTGAGCATTGTCGCGGGTATTCCGGATTATAACCATATCCCTCATACCGAGATTAAGGCGACACAAATGCAGTTAAAACTAAACCGATCTTTTTTTTTTTTTTTTTTTTTTTTTTTGAGGATAAGAGTCGCACATTTTTTGGGACCGACGAAACATTCCAACATTTTATTCTAAGCCGTAACTGCTATAGCAGAGCTGATACAACGTGAGCGGTTGCTAACTCGACGTTGGCAAGCGCCAAGACTCTTCGCTGGTATTTTACAACGCTGTTTGTAATCGTATTTTACACCCGGTTGTTCTCGTATCGAAACTTGAGCATTGCATTGCAGAGTAGTTGACATATGTTGAAATGTTTTCGATGAGTATATTGTAGCGTTTAAAATTCTGAGTATTATTACTGTTCTCTGGATAGTGCAGACGAATTGTGTCCTATATATGAAATGGCCACGGTTCAATAAAGATTTATATTTCAACAATACACTTCCGGTGCCACTGACTTCACTTTTCCCCTGCAGCAGCCTTTATTTTAACAATTTAAACGCACTTGCAGGTTTGCGCTGATGAGGCCTCAAAACCGAAACTCTCGTAGCGTGAATGGTGACTGCATCCGCTGCTACACAACCTTGTTGTCAAGCCACTTCTGCGAGAATTCACTGTACAATTGCCAGTAAACACACAAAAACAACACCTACACATACAATTATATTGTAGAATATCACCTTATCTAGTAATAACTGTGTCAATGTCAATTACATGTGGCATAAAGTTAAAAAAAAAAAATTTTTCGCCAAAAAAAATAAATATCAAATTTAACTCTGGCAACAATGTATTATTGCCGAATTTTTGCCGAAAGTTTGCCGACTCTAAAAACATTTTGACAAAAGTTCGGCTCTGCCGAATCCCAAGATTTGGCGCCGAATTTTCGATTCGGCCAAACTTCGGCCAAACACTAGCAGAAATACAATAAAACCGAAACCGAAACTAAGCTACAAATTTACTGGTCCGCCATCTTGCTGTGGCGTCAGATGTGTGAATATCAGCACGTGGAGAGCTTCAGCTTGTGTCGCCCAGCGTCAGAAGCAGCAAGAGGGCCGTCGCGATCGTCCGTGGGAATTAATGAACTATAATTTATCGGACTTGTCTCTGTCAAGCAATGACCAGCAAATGTTATAAAATTTTCAGCACGAGGTTTCAGACGATTCACCATTCGCATCTGACCCGCCGGCATCGCCTGCAATGGGACCATTCGAGGTGTCTGCGTTCGCTATCCGCCGACATAAGGACCCAGTCGCCGCTTCGGAAGCAGAGGGGTATGAAAGGCTTTGTTTGCTAGCACGGTGAAAACTGGTTTATAGCATGACGCGAACACAAGGAGCCAGCATTCTTCGCGTCGGACTGCTTGAACCCTCTTCGGTCGCAGAAACTTTTCGGTCAAAAAAAAAAAAAAAAAACGATAGGATGTCACTCTGCAGCATTTCTTCGTGGTGTTATTGCACCCCACAGCACATTACCAATTCTCACCACCCTCCACCGCATGCCGCCAGCAGCCTAAACCAGACAAAAACCGCAATTCTACATGCGCTCACTATTACTACAATGCACAACGCAGTAGAGGAGGAAGCGTCGTCTGCTCTCGAATGCATTTGGCGTCACGAGCGTCCCTGCTCATTGTTGCCAGTAAAGCGGCAGCCAGATATTCGAGGCGTACGCGTAAACTTCACAATTAGTTTTTTTTTTTTTTTTAAGGTATTGTGATGAGATATTTTTGTAGGTATACTCAGTGGTGGGTATTTAGCGCATAGTGAACAGCTGATAAAAATGGATGGCCGCCAATATTTTGTCAGATGACCACCAATATTTTGCCTTTAACAAAATGTCGGAGACCACTACTTTTACGGTGAATGTTCCTCACTTTCATTGCACTTGGTCCAGTCATTCTGAACAAGTTATCAACATTTTTTTTCTATTTTACCAACTCAAATTAGCCACGCACATAGAAATTGATCCCCTACGTTTGCGACGCACATTATTGTCACTTTTATTACATTATTGTCAGATACAATCTACGAGTGCGTCCGAAGCTGCTTTCACACCCTCATTACCACCAGTCAGTGTTCCCCCGTGGTGCGAAAATAGTTCGCTACCGAGGCAGGAACACGTCGCGTTGACGTGACGCAAGTAGTCATGTCTGCTGCTTTCCTATTTGATCCGCGGAGCGGCTTAATGCCGCGGCTAATTCGCGGTGGTGTTTGTTTGACTCGTTCCTAACTTGCATCCAAGGTGACTAAATTCACTCAATCATAGATCTACTCCCAAAACCTGTCTCTTCGAGCAAAACTCCCCTTTCCCTTCCCCAAGGTAAGCCTCCCATTGTTCGACGTTGCCACGGGCTTCTGGATGACTGCAATAGTAACAACACTGCACTCCACGGAATTCACAGGCCTTGAAGCACGGCGTGTAGATGGCGCTTCACCGTACTTTATGGAATCCAAAGCTTTGAAACGCAGCCTCTAGATGGTGCTTGAAGCGGCGGGAGGCAGAGTTGAGGTGGACAAGAGGGTACATTCCTGCGCGAGCACCGTACCTGAGTTGACCTAGCAACGTTGCTTGCACCTGGATTTCGTATTTCTGACAAAGGCGTAGTGTAGGTATTTGTGCTCCCGTCTGGAAAAAGTTGGCGCTTGCTGAAGACAGAGGTCGCCGCTTGTCCAGTCCAGGCTAGTATATGAGTTCCCACCAATTCAACAACTTTCACGGGCACTCTCTAGATGTCGCCACAACCCTGACGACAACCAGAAAAGCTAGTGCGTCACTTAAAGTGTTCTAGGTGAATTAAAACTTGTGTTTGGGCGAGTTGGTTCATACTGATTTAAAAGGTTAAAAAGCGCAACACAACAAGGACAATAAAGACACGAAGACGACAGGACGTCTAGGTGCATCTCTAGGTGCTTCTGTACCCATTTGACATTCACTTTGTTTTTTTCAAATAATGTTTTTTTAGTGGTTGGATTTTTTTTTCTAAAAGAAAATTAGTATAAATCAAGGATCAATGCACGAGCTTTCTTTTTAAGAGTTATCTAGCAAGTTCTCGTAAATTGCAGTCCCTGCAAGCTGATTAAATTAAGAAGCATCAAGAAGTTGTATTGAAGGCGCAAGGTGTTACCTTTCATGCTTTAGGTTTTATTTTTGCCCGTCCACTTCCGAGACATTCCGGCGGTATGAGATTCAAAACCGTAGGTACCTTAAAGAGCTTCTCCATTGGATAGTAAGCTCTCATTCTTTAAATTAAGTCCGAGAAGTGATAAATGTTGGATTTGGAAGAGCCGACGCTGCGATTGCCACTACCGTCAGAGTAGCAGACATGCGACGCGAACATCAAGTGCGTAACACGTCCGCAGTATGTTTGAACTCAAAACTATGAATAGCCCTAGCAAAGCGGAACACCGTGCGAATGTAACGCCTGTATTTCACCGAACACATTATAAATAGCAATACTTCTCGCAGTGCGCGCGGTGTTGTGCTCATTGGGGCACTTTGAAATATGTAATCGCCACCGTACATGCACGGTGACTAACTTCAAAGGGTTAATGCAATTCGTCAATGACTGTGACTTTTCAATTAGACCTTGGCTACTGAGAGATGTCGAGACTAGTACAACCTTACGATAAAAACTAAGGAAGGCACCTTCTTTTAAGTTTGTTCTTCTTGCTTTTTTTTTTTTTTTTGTCCGCCGAGGAGCAGAAATGCTTTGGTCAACAACCAACACCGCTCCATTTCGCAACTTCGTATGTCGTCGATTCATATGCAGCTTACCATGTCTACAATGTACGTAACTTGTCAATTAGCAAAACGAAGCCTAAATGTGCATACTTCTGCTTCACATCTCACTTGGGTCAGCTACATTCTGAATTAGCCATGCTCACTTTGCAAAAGAACTCCCTCCACCTTCCCTTTTATCTTCAAAAGTCGTTAGCTACTGAAATGAGTCGTTAGCGATTTCGTGTATTTCACGTTGCTAACGAGGAAGCATAACGCATGAAGTTCGCCCGCCCACCATTCTCTCTTAAAAATTCCTACGCTGTTCTTTTCCAGCTTTGTTCATTGAACAACAGCGTCCAATGGAACACCACCTAGCGCTCGCGTCCAAACTCTAAAAAGCGCACTTTATTTTGGTTTTGGGGGATATGTGAGATGTTCCGGGCAATGTACATGCTTACAGTAATCCGTGCTCTTTTGGAACATAAGATATGCAGGACAAGCTCCGCCCACAAAGTGCAAAGCCACAGAAGAGAGCAGCGGTGCCGGTGACTATCATCTTGTAATCTACTGCTTACTGGCACACATGATGCATACCCTCCGTTGGTATACGCGACTACGACGCCCAATGGATGGCGAGGCGGTAATTCAAAGATGGCAGAATGGACGGGGTTAGCTTGTCCAGAGTTTCGCGAGCGCCTGATCGCTGGCGCTGGTCTATGTGCCAAAAAGTAATTATTATGGCCACAAATACAATTCGGTAATTGTAGGAGCATACCCCAGGGGAAAGAGATGTTGAAGTGCGTCAAGAAAATCAGCATGCCAATTTTTAAAAGTTTCGAAGGGGGACACTACAATTCCTTGTTAACGCACTCGCTTTTTGCGTTAAAACGGCATGTTGCACAAACACGTCGACCAAAAGCATGCGGTAACAGCGGCACGAAGGCCGACAGTCCCCGCCCGCCGTCTCCGCCGCCGTTCCCGCTCCTCTAGCTCTTCGTTCGTCCACGAGAGGGCGAGAGGCGGGCTGGAGTTGCGAATAGAAACGCAGGTTTCGTGGTATCCCATTTCGTGACGTTGGGAACAAGATCTGTTTTTTTCAAGCAGAGCACTTTTTCTCCGGCAATTCAGGCACAATTTCTCGTGTACATCTTAACGCGTCAAGCTATTAAGAATACTGTCTGGTCACGCCAATGAGATGCCAGTAAAAATTGAACAACCAGTCAATAAACAATTGATAAATAATACAGTCAGGGACAACTTAAGAAACACGGAACGTGAACATAAGCCACGTCCCGCGTTTCTTATAAAGTCAGTGACTTGCCAGGCTATCACATACTTACTGGGGTATATAAAGTTTTCACTATTTCAACTTCGGATATAGCAAAGCAGATACATACCCGTACCCGACGAGCATGCTAGATGAGACATCTGGGCGTGGTAGTCGGTACCGTCGACTATGATTGGAGGTCGAAGGGCCACTGGAAGACACTTTACACTGCTCTCGAAGTGGTAGAGAAAACTTTAAAAAAAAGGTTTATATGAAGCCTGAGCGTGACACCTGACGTTCCGCTAAGTCTCCCAGCGAAACATCGGTGGCCTTTATGAAGGGAGTTCACGAGATTAATTTTAATATCAATGCAAAATAAAGTGATATGATTTACTCCAAGCTTACTTAACGACAGTTATTCGAAGTCGCTGTGTTAGTTGAATT